ATAGTGGTGAGAATATATAATATATAATAATAGTTATCAGGATTCCGAATTAGTAACACATCTAGAAAAGCTAAAGAATTTTTTGCCTCTAACTCCATTGTGAACTGAATTTTAGAATTTATATTATAATATATGATGAACAGTTTTCCAATGTAAATTTTAATTTTCTCTTAATTGTCTTTTTAAAAGTTCGCTTGCTTCAATTCCTATCTTTTCTAGGACCTCTTTGTTTTATTTATTTACCATAAATGTCTCTGTCAGCGAATCTAGTACGTCTTGCAAACTTGTAAATTTCTTCTTCTTGAGTACCGAGTATAGAGTACCTTTCTCTTGAATACCGTTTTCAAATACACGATGTTGTCACGATCGTCGAACGACGAGATCAACCAAAAATAAATAAATTTTTAAATTTTATTTATAATTTTATTCCTTTATATTTATTGTACTAATTAATAAGTTGAGACACTTTATTTTTGTTTTATAAAAGCATGTTATTGTAATAATATAAATGTCGGATGTTTTTTCGTGATGAGGGCTTGTTATCCCCTCGCATTTCGGGGTCATTTTGGCCAATATGGCGCATCTGTCGAGCACTTCCCGAAGTACTTCCAGACTACTTCCTGCTGTTATGTATATTAAAATCGTATATCAATGGAAACTCTATTAAATAAGCTATCAGGTTATGTATAACTTGAATACAGGTTTACTTCGAAAGTGATACTAATTTGAAAATGAAAGTAAGAAAAGTGTTTTTCCCCAATTTTCTGCAAAGGTGTAATAATTATAAATTAAAGCCTTTATTCCAAGTACTATTTTTTTTACTTGTACGTCCAAAGCATATTTAATTATAAAAAAAAAGCAAATAATTTTTTTTTCATAAATTTTTTGTTTACGACAAGGTCGAGAAAGGCCTCACTTAGCTCTACTCGACATCGGGACAAAAAATAAGGAGTTTCACAAAAAACACATTATTAAATCAAATTTAGACAAAATCAATCATGCAGATATATATGTTATATATATGTATGTTATATACAATATGTAACGTAATTAACGCACACCCTCAGACAACCCAATTAGTATATTCTGTTATAATCATAATACATACACTGAATTTTTAGTTAAACATTTTTATGCACTGATTATTTATCAAATTAGTTATACTAATTCCGGAAGAATGTTGTAGTCACAGTACACATCCACAAACGCAAACACTTTAACGTGCTTGACATAAAGTTTATTTTTGTTTTTTTTTTATTGAATGACAGGAATAGTAATAATACAAATAAAACTGCACTCTTAAAAGTCTTATTGCCTTAATTTACGGTCTATTTTAGTTTGTTTTGACTTTACAGATTTAGTGTGACTGTAATTTACGTAGTTTTAATTATTTTTGGTATAAAAAATTACCTACATTAAAAATGATAGGAATCGATTCATTAAACGATTCTGAACAAACTACTTTCTCAAAGTGCGTTAATTATGTTACATGTTGTATATATATATATATATATATATATATATATATATATATATATATATATATATATATATATCAAATAGTTTGCTAACACTCGACGCCATATTATGGCGTTTGACAGATGCGCATATTATTTGAGACGCCAGAATATGGCGTTTGGACAGCCGAAGGGTTATTTAAAACATAAGTTCCTCCACTTTTTGTTTTTGGTACTTATTTATTTCTGGTATTCAAATTTAACCACGCCTCTTTAGTAATATACTTACTATCTTACTATCTTTAGAAAATACCGTTTAACATGGAAATGATTAAGGTTAGTTTGCGGTTGCCTTTGTTCGTCCTTTTTTAAGGTTTTTTGCATTAATATATTTTAACACTATACATTCAATTAATTTAGTTTTAAATTTAGTACTCTTTTGTATTTCTCCCCACTTTGGGAAGACTTAAAATTAAATTGTAAATTAATTGTGAGCTAATTGCGTTGCGGGCCTATGTTCTTAACAGTTTTTGGCACAACACCGTGGCTAACATTGGATTCCCTCTGTTATTTTAGTTTTATTCTTGGAGTCAGTCAATGTAATTCAGAGATTATCAAACTTTAATTTAGTTATGGTTAAGTCGGTTTGCTGTTTAAACTTATATTCTAAACTAGACATTATTACCAGTAAGAGCATTTAAAACGCAACTTTATAATATTGAGAATATATTTTTATCAAATTAAAGGAAAAAATATAAGTAAATGATGATAAGATGCAATAGAAAGAGAAAACGAAATCTCGACAAAAATACTAGAACCAGATGATCTTATTACTCCGCAAGACTTGGGTATTGAATACGAAGCTCTTCCACGTCAAGACCAAAGAGGCAGTCTTAAAGATTTTCTACACATACCACAACCAGCTCTAAAATGGAAAAGAAATATATTGCTAAGGAAAAAGAAAACACATAAAAAGAAAAAAGAGAAAAAAAATTATAGAAAAAGAAAGGCTGAAGAAACCAAGGCTGCCAAAATTAGTAAAAGAAATATGTTTAACCAGACCTGTGACTTTTGAAAAAACCCCGAGAAGAAAGGACTAACGTGTCCTCAATGTAAGCGTAATTTTCATAAACGGTGTGTACCAAAATCTCATAGCGAGCACATTTCTTAAGAAGAAGAAAACAGTTATCTTTGTCACAACTTTAACAGTTTATCACTGAAAATAGCGAAAATGAAGATGAAAATAATGAAAATTCATTGGTGGCAATTATTTTGATGACAATTTTTAAGCAGCATCAAAAAAAACGGTTGGCATTAGGATGTCGTCCAATACAATTTAATGAAAGTCCTTTTTGTGTGACGGCCAATAACTGTATTCTAAGAGGCTAATAACTGTGATTTGGGGGCCAATTATTACATTTTATGTGATCTCAGATACTTTCTTTAGGTTAAAATTAGAAATGTTGTTTTTTTTAAAGATCAAAATATAAAATTTAATACAAATAACTTTTTATTTTATTTATAAACAGTCATAGTACACATTGCGCGTAAAGTGCCAATTACTATATCCACTACCCTAATCATTCGTATAATCATTAATTAATATATATATATATATATATATATATATATATATATATATATATATATATATATATATATATTTAAATGGTGATAAAAGCATCGAAAAAAGTCGATATATCGTTCATAAACTTCGATGTTTTTAATGAGCGAATTTGCACCCTATAGATGTGCTTACTTAACTTGAGTTGAACTTCATACAACTCGAACTAAACTCGAGTCACGCAACTCGAGTTAGCAGGATAAAAAGTGATTTGTTACAAATTACTTTTTATAAATTTGTTTTTCTATCTAACTCTTTAGTCGGTTGGGTCAACTATCATTACGAAACTTAGTAGGTACTTATGTATTTTTGGTTTTAATCAATTAGTAAGTACCTATATTTAACAACAAAACTAGCTATATAGCAGTCTTCACAAAACAACATCAGTCTAGTTTTAAAATGTATGTAGTGTATGTTCATAAGCTATTTAATAGTTTAAATATTCTTAAATAACTTAGCTATCATAAAATTCTAAATAACAAATTACTTTGACAGTAGTTAAACTCTTTGAAACACAAAGCACACGTACACAAATACGTGCACATAAAGCTAGAAATCTTAAAGTCACAAATAATCTTTGCCTAGCACTTACACTCTGTCTTAAAACCGTATCATGTTTTTCAATATAAGGAACTAAACTTAATAGCTCCTCGAACTCCCCTTCTCCCATTCACAGGTATTCTGAATTTGTTTGACTCCAGAACACCGATAATACGTATACTTGACTGATTTTTTTCTTAATTTTATATATTCTTTCACCCATATCTTTCTTCGCCTCCTCTTTTCTTTAATATTAAGTGTCGTGTTTTTTTCGTCGTCAAAACGTTCAGTAACAAAATTTTGTTATATCGCGTATCACACTACATCATGCAAACATGACGATATATCGTTATTTATCAAGTGATATACATTGATACTGTTTAAAAATATCCATACTTTTTTCACTTGCACATCCCTATGACTGAGTAAAGGCGTAAAATCAGTGTAGAGTAATAGGAGTATTAGTCTAAGCTCAAAGATATTGTTATATCTTCGTCTGAGCTCCTTTCATACTGCTGCTGCTAGCTGCGATTTGCGTGCAAAATAGTTGCCATATTTAAAATGTGTATTGTATTTGGTAGTTGTATTATTGTTTCTCATAAAAAAACTAAAACTGTGTTTAATGATATTTAAAATGAAACGAAAATAGGATACAAAGACGAAGTGAGGGGTCTTGACGGTAATGATTTAATGATAAGATAAAGTAAAAGAATTAGTCAGGTTTACGATACATCCACAAGAGATGACTTGGAAACAGAGTTTACCTTCAGTATTTGGGTAAATTACAATAATAAACAATTGTAAAAGAAGGCTATCAATGCGATTTTGTAATAGATACAGTAGTTACTTCTACAGCGGTATAAAAATTAAAGGCGTGTTAAACTTTTTGTTGTGATTTGTTATTTAATATTAGGACGGGGTCCATAAGTTCACGAAATAGAGTTATTTATAGTCCACATGATGGAAAGTGACAGTCCGTAGATATATAAACTAGTACCGACTTGTAATAATAATAGTTGGCTTCAGAACGGAACGCAGCAGTGCACATACTGCTATTTGAAAGAATTCAGTAGAAATGAGGGTGAGGGTGGTGCCTACCCTCATCTTAGACCGAATCCTAAGCTGGAAAGGAGTTCTACCATAGTTCTACCTCTAAATTAAAATGATGTTACTCCGCACACTTAATAATATTATGTTTAAATTATTTCAGATGTAAAATTTGGGTGAAAGCGTGTAAAAGACCTGATTTGGCGGACAGAACTTGTGAAAGCCTAAAAAATTCATACATATGCAGTTTACATTTTGAAAAAATTATGTACGGGAAAAAATATTTGAGGAAAACTGCCGTACCGACTTTACTTTTACCATCTTTGGACGGCATGGTTAAATCTAAAAAAACAGAAGTCGAACTTTTAAATGATTCAGAATTAGATGCAGAATCACAGATTCCTTCATCACAGATTGCATTTTCGGACTGGATTGTTAAATCAGAAAAACCGGATGTCGAACTTTTAAATGATTCAGAAATAGAAGTATCTTCAGAATTAGTGCAGAAACAATATGAATCAGAGATTTCTTCATCACAAATTGCATCTTTGGACTGGATTGTTAAATCAGAAAAACCGGAAGTCGAACTTTTTGAAGATTCAGAAATAGATGTATCTTCAGAATTGGCGAAGAAACAACATGAATCAGGGATTTCTTCATCACAAATAACATCTTTGGATTGGGTTGTTAAATCAGAAAAACCGGAAGTTGAACTTTTCAATGATTCCGAAGTAGATATAGCTTCACAATTGGCGCACAAACAATATGAATCAAGGATTTCTTCATCACAAATTGCATCTTTGGACTGGATTGTTAAATCAGAAAATCCGGAAGTCGAATTTTCAAACAATTCAGAAATAGATGTTTCTTCAGAATTGGCGCAGACTCAGTACGAATCGGGGGTTTCTTCATCACAAATTGCATCTTTGGACTGGATTATTAAATCAGAAGAATCTGAAGTCGAACTTTCAAATGATTCAAAATTAGATGGATCTTCAGAGTTGCCGCAGAAACAATATGAATCAGGAAATTCTTCATCAAAAATTGCAGCAGACATTGATACTAAAAAATACATACGTATCAATCAAAGTACTCAGACTGAAACTATATTGACTGATCATATCCCTCCAAAACCAAAAATTAAAATAAAATTATCAAAAACAAGTAACAAGTTAAAATGTTATAAGAATTTTGAAAATATAGCCAAGAGACAATTCTTGAGAGATTGCGACAAATATTTATCTCCTAAGCTAAGTGCCATCGTAAAGGCACAAATGTGTAGAAAATATAAAATAGGAAAATAGAATAATCTTTATTCAATATGGACAATAATGCTTATTGACATTCATTTATGCCTATATATATACCTTTTCGGGAAAATAGCCACTGTAGGGTAGGGAGGAGGAATGGCGTCCACTTACGGAAAACATGGTGTATTTTTTAAATTATTTATTATAAATCAAAGTTAAGAGAAGTAACAAAGTCTTTAATTATCGAATAATCAACAATTTAACCAAAAAACGCATATTTACCCTACTCGTAGTAGGAAAACATTATTAAAAAAACATGTTTGAGCGGCATTTCCCTTGACTTTGGGTAATTCCGCTCAGGTTACGGGGTAATGATGCTTCAACATGTTTTTTGGAATATAACAAGTAAGACACATTTTAATCAAAGTAATATTAATAAGATCAACTTTACACAATAAAAGAGAAAATATATTTGAGGATTGTAATGTCTACAATCACTAATTAGCATCAATTATCCCCATTTGTACGTAAGATTAGCAATTTTCAATATAAAGAATATAGTCGTATATATATCGTAATAGTAGTCTTCGATGTCTAATCAAATTCTACTATTATAATCTTAATATATATAAATTACGTGTCACGTTGTTTGTCCGCGATGGACTCATAAACTACTTAACCGATTTTAATCAAATTTACACACCGTGTGCAGTTTGGTCCAGCTTGAGAGATAGGATAGTTTTTTTTTCCCCACAATTTTTTTGCGAATTTAAGGATATTTAATAGGACATGACAGAGGGTCGTCAAAACGGGCAGAACAACGTCTGCCTGGCAAGCTAGTATAATATAGAATAATCATTATTATTAAGGTAAGACAAATTAGAAATAAAAATATTTCATTTTTGGACACATAAATCACAGATGTATCCATCTGGCGCATCCCACCCTGAACACATGAGCCCACAGTCCGCAGATGGTGCAGCGATACCACAACTCGTTATTTTTTTTTTCAAATTCTTCGGAAATAATACAATAGTTATAATTTTCATTATCCACATCCACCTCGCAAAGGTGCCCTTCATCTTCACTCTCTTGTAAAATTTTTCTCTTGTAAGATTTTTGTTTAATATGTTCTTCTTTTCTTTGACAACCTTTGTTGGTCTTGATTTATCATCTCTTACAGTCTAATTGAGTTTAGCTTTTTTTTCTTTCTTTACCCTCGAAAATAAATTTCATAGGAGTCGCAGTTAATATGGTAGCATATTGTTTTTGCTTTCTTTGAACTGGCTTTGAAGATGGTGCAATAGTTGATGTCGTTGCTATAGCAGCAAAAAATACCGGAGTTCTTTACTCATCAACAAGTTCATGGTTACAAGCAACTGCCAAAACATGCGCAGCGTTTGGTAGGACCATCAAATAAGCATTGATCCTTATTTGATGGTCCTACCAAACGACTGCGCATCTTCAAAATTCTGGATCTTCCAAAAAATCTTGATCAATGAAAATATTTGAGTTTAATGGGTAAATTCCCGTGGCTTGAAATCCAGATTCTGCTTTACTTATATCCGCAAATTGTACGTATGCTTTATTGAAAATACCTGCAACATCGGATGCAATTATTTTAGACATTAAATGTGTCTTTATGTGCCTGTTTGCATTCATGCCTGTAAACCGCTTTCAGCGGCCCATAAAAAAACACATCCAGCAGCTGTGTTCTGTGAGAACTGTGTAATGGAATGGAAATCTTGTGAGGTGGTTTTCTCTGAAAAAATTAAAAGCTTGAAGGGAAATGTGACTGCTGGGATTGTCCGCAATTAACAACACATGTGATACTTGAGTAGGCTTAGCAATTGCTGCGACATGTTTGAGCCAAGTGACAAATAAGTTTTCGTTTATCCAGCCATTTTTAGAGTTGGTGTATAATGCACCAGCTGGTCTATCTTTTTCTGTTTAAAGGCGTCATTCTCTGTCTGGAAAAAATAAACATGGGCGATATGAAGTTTCCGGCTGCACTCATCGCACATATAACTGTCATGTTGCCTCCTCGTTCACCGCTTTTAACAGATCCGATTCTTCTTTGTTCTTTTTTGACGAGCAATTTTCCTTTGTCTGACACCGTGGTGATACCAGTTTCGGCAGCATTATAAATGTTGTTCGGAATAAACTTGTGTTTGTCCATTAAGTCGCCAAGTTTTTCATAGAAATGTGTTACTTCTTCTTTTTTGAAAGCAGAAATTCTATAAAAGCTTGTCGCTTTAGCTTTACTTATAGCTACTGAAGGTTTGAACCCTATACCAATCCAGCTGTTTTGCTGCTTTGATCAAAATTGTTTTTGATATTGTTGAGCTCTTTTTTTATAGAAGAAGGGGCAACCGAGCATACGGTTCACACGATGTTAAGTGATTACCGCCGCCCATGAACATCCACAACACCAGGGGAATTGCAGTAGCGTTGCCGGCCCTTTAGAAAGGAGTAAGCTCTTTTCTTGAAGGTCCCCAGGTCGTCGAACTACTGTACTGAGACGTGTGTTAATTCTGGCGAAAAACATCTAAATACTGCTCCTCAAATCTATTTCTTATATTCAAACGTAATGGACCTTAAATTCTGTGAAAGGTGATTTATGACAAAAACCCTTTTAAAGTGAGGATAAATACTGTATCAAAGCATCGATAGCTGCACCAGCGAGCGGAACGACGTACTTCACCTCCGCGGGACTGGTACAGTGGCTATTTTTTTACTCGCTCGCACACTGACCCGGTGTCTAAGCATACAGTACTGCGCATGAGTTGTGTATTTATTATCTTAGGTAAACAAACAATTCTTGAAGTTGTTTGTATCATTGTACACAAAATTATATATTTCTTTCACCTACTACCGCCGGCGGCTCGCAACCTGACTTGTCAAAAATTCCGGCAGATAATATTTCCGATACACAAATTACTTTTAGAAAACGTAAACAACCGGCTGATCGTGAATGCCAATGTTCGGATGAGATTAACTTGGTGCGAAATGAGTTATCACGAATAACTTTCTTATTAGAAAATTATATTGGGTCAAATACACAAATAATGAATCAAATGAACTAGAGTATTGTTGAAGCTAAGAGTGAAATTACCGATATACGGGCCTCGTATGAACAAACGAGAAACTTGATTAACTCTAATGTAGCATAAATTAGTATACAAATCCAAGAAATTAAGACCGCCAGTCAAAAATTTCTATAGAAAATAGTCACATAAAAACTCAGTTATCGCAGTTGCAGTTAAAAGTGTCAAACGGTGAAGATAAAATAAAGTTACTTGAAAACGACTTTAAACAATTATGTTTAAGCTCGCCAGCCACTCAAACCAATCAGCTGTTTGTATTATTGTAATTATTCGCGAAGTCCAAGAGCGCGAAAAGAGAGAAAATAATATAATTATAGTTGGCAGAACAAAATTCCAACAGCACCGAAGAGCGGATCCTCAAAAACGAGGTTGAGGTTGAGGAAAAAGATATTCCGAAACCAAATAAGATTTTCCGCATTGGCAAGTATAATCCAGGAAAACAACGAAGGGTTAAAGTCTGCTTTGACAAACCAGAGACAGCCAAGGTACTCCTCCGCAACAAAGAGAAATTGCCTGATAATGTAAAAAGTTTTTCGGACCAAACACCGGCTCAACAAAAATACTTCATGAAGATAAAGATGAACTTTCACGACGTACAAAAAATGGAGAAAGTGATCTCATAATTAAATATGTCAACGGCATACCAAGTATTATAAAATCGGTTTCAAAAAACTCTATCACCAATCATTCATCAACAATAATTAATAACAATTCACCCGATATTATGGTATCAAGTAGTTAACGACTACCAACTTATCCAGACTAAAAAATCACGTTTATCGTTTCTCTACTAAAAAAAAGGCAAACTCGATGAACTTAATTAAATGTATCATAAAATCAATATCAACAACTGTACATATTATTTTCCTCACAGAAACTTGGATACAGACTGAAAATCAAACTTTACAACTACAAATCACTAACTACACACTTTATTCCAACTACAGGATGGATATAAGAGGAGGTGGAGTATCAGCATACATACATAATCGCTTAAAACATAACCTTATTGAATCGACTTACCAAGACGGAAATAACTGCTTATGGATAAAAATTCAAAAATTTTCACTGGATGTTGGCGTGGTTTATTATTCTGGACATACCAATTTTCAAAAATTTTTGGAAGTATACGACAAACAATTACAGCATCACAAGAGAGCAATAGTTTTCGGAGATTTCAACATTGACTTGTTGACAAAAAACAATAAATTAAAACAGTAGAAATAATCAGGATACAGATTACTCAACAAAATAAACTAAACGTATTGTACAAGAGACTCCACCACGAAGAAATCGATCATAAACCATGTTAGCACTAACCTAAAAGGTGACCATTTCAATATTGTTATGATCAACTCACCTATGACAGACCATAAACAAATTTATGTACAATTAAACAGATTTAAACCACCAAAAAATACGTAAACGCTATGAAGCAATCAACTATAATAAATTATATAACTCGAGAGAATCACACGGATTTGAAGAAGACTTAAATTACAGTCAATTGGAAACTAAACTAAAACAATACGTTGAAGACAATAAAGTAATAAAAACTAAAATATTAAATCCACCACAAGAAGACTGGATTAATAACAATATACTTAGTGGCATTAGTCAAAGACACTATTTGTGGATTCAATACAAAAATAATCTAGAAAATGAATCATTAGAAAAAGAGTTTAAACTGAAGAGAGATACAGTGGCTAAGCAGATCCAATATACGAAAAATTCCTACTATTATAAACTATTTCAAGATTATGCTAATAAACCCAAAAAAATGTGGCAACTTATAAACAATCTAGCAAACAAAGTTGTGCTTCTCCAAAACTTATTGTAGATTCCAAGGTAATCAATAATACAGTCGAGATTTGTGAGATTTTTAACGAATATTTTTCAACTATTGGACCCATACAGATAAAATACCATAGTAGCTCCACCAAGAAATATCATAGTAGCTCCACTTATCTTTTCTCTAAAACACAAACAGCTAATATTAATGAACTTTTTACACAAGCCCCATGTACTGCTAGTGAAATTCGTTAAATTATACAAAGCCTCGATTTGAATCCTAGTAGTGGCATAGACAGAATTAGCACAAAAGTAATAAAGTGCCTACAAAATTTGATAGCACATGACTTAGCTCAATGTTTCAATAAACTTATGATCGATGGAGAGTTTCCAGATACTATGAAGATTGCAAAGATAACACCAATCTATAAATCGGGTCTTAAAACCGACCCAGGAAACTGTCGTCCGATATCGGTATTGCCTGGTCATCTCAAAAATTTTAGAAAAAGTCATATATAATCGTTAAGAAAATTACTTAAATTCTGTTAACTTTATATCAGGACGGCAATATGGATTTCGAGCCAAAAGTAGCACCACTACCGCAACAATCGATCTAACAACGAAAATAAAAGATAGTATAGATAAACGGCAAGTGGTTTTAGGTGTTTTTATCGATTTAAAAAAAGCCTTTGATACTAAAGTCACAAATTGCTACTAGAAAAACTTGAAAGCATCGGAATCAAAGGTAGTGCTCTTAAAATGTTTAAATCATACCTATCAAATAGATCGCAAGTAGTGAAGCTGGATAATTTTCAAAGTAGTGCCTTACCTATCACGCATGGTGTACTGCAGGGATCTATACTTGGGCCACTCCTATTTCTAGTCTATATTAACCAAATCGCAGAGCTAGGGTTACATGGTCATCTAACTTTGTACGCTGACGATACATGTCTATTTCATTCCGGATTTAAAATACATAATATTATCTTGCAAGCGCAAGAAGATCTAGAACAATTGTCTGAGTGGTTCCGATATAACTTGCTAACGGTAAACACTTCTAAAACATGTTACATAATTTTTAAAGCAAAGAACAAAACTATACCATTACATGACCCACTGACAATTGATAACATCTGCTTAGAACAAAAAACCTGCAAAAAAATACCTAGGCTTGAGAATGGACAATTACTTAACATGGAATAGGCAAATAGATCACATTAAAAGTAAACTTTCGGCACTTACTGGATCACTTCACAATATTTCCCATTCACTACCTAAAAAAATGCGTTACACTACTTATAACTCATTAGTTAAATCACATTCACTTTATCTTATAGAAATTTGGGGCAATGCTGCTAAAACTAAGTTACAGGAACTTCAAAGAATACAAAATAAAATCATAAAAATACTTTTTCACTATCCCTATTTAACAGCAACTACCAAAATTTTCAAAGAAACAAAACTTATGAACGTTCAACAACTACATACATATAATACTTGCATTATAATTAGGAAAATACTAGATAAAACCATCCATACTAGCTTGTCTTTTGTAAAAAATCACAAATTTGTAAACGCAGTCTTCGTGGACCTAGCTTACTTGAAAAAAAAATTACCTTTGAAGGAGCACAGATTTATAATAGTTTATAATAGTACTTTTAAGTCTCAACTATCACAATACGTAATTGTACATTTTTCACCATTAAATTGAGGCTATGAAGTTACTGACCGACTGTTCGGCGACCATTAAAATAAGTATACTAAATGTAAAATTGTTTCGGACGGCAGGAACACGTCCAGTGCCCGCACAGTCGCCCTGGGACAATCTCCCATTTGATGACGTACGTTCCTTGCTCAGTACTGGTGACGCATATCCCACGCACCCCTGAATGCGTATGTATAGTACGACCCTACTGGGACCTCGAGAGAGAGAGACGAGTAGCCGGGAGGAGGCAAAATTAAAACACTTTCTTCCTAGTTAGCTTCTTGTTACTTAGGTTCCGGCTTCCTTTTTCCTTGTTGTTGCCTCTTCGACGGCTGTGCTGCGACTGCGATTTCAGCCGAAATTGGCTCGACTTTTATACCCGTTACCGTTACCGTAAGAACGCTTGTGCGGTTTTGCCTTTCTCGCGTGTTGTTTTTATTTTAAGCCGAAACCTTTGGAGCCTTTATTTATTATAATTTTCACATCGTCCTTGCAATTTATACATCGTTAGATTTCTCTAGTACTATTCTATAATATAAAATAATAATATAAGCTATTAATTTCTTAAATATAAAATTTCTAGAACAAAAACCCTACAAAATTTGTTAATTCACCATACTCGTACATTTCAATATTTATTGAAACAGATGTCTGATATGTGGTTTAAGAACTTTATTCTCATTAAGAATACAAAATCCACTTATCATGAGAACATAAAAATTTATAAGTTATAACAATATCTGGAGAAACACAGAAGTTGGGAGAACATTACAAATACATACTGTTAAAAACAGTCACAGCGTCAGAGAGAGATACAATCACAGACATATAGTTGCACTACGCTCAACAATTTACAAGAAGCGGCTTGAGATACATATTTAGTAATATTTTATTCTAATTCGAATTAGTAATGAACAATAAAAAAAAACTTTATACCTTATTTGCACCTTTTTAAATATATTTAAAATACTTATTAATTATTATTAATATTTTTAACTTAATAGTAAGACCGTTATTTTATAGATTTTATAATATGATATTTTAGTAATTTTTTGAAGCTTACATTTGACTGCGATTCCTTAATGTCTTTAGGCAGTTTATTATATAATTGTGCTCCTTCAAACACTAGGTTTCTTTTACCATAACTAGTTTTTGGTGCACGTAAAATGAGATCATTTGCATTTCTTAGGTGAATTTTTTGAATTTGTCTCTTTTTAGTGAAACTTAAATAAGTGTGGATATCTTTATTTATTATTTTACGAATCAGAATGCATGTATGATAAACGTACGATTGATTTATATTTAACAGCTTGGTATCATTATATATTTTGTGAGTTGGTGTCAGATAGTTATAGTTGAATAGAACCTTTATAACTTTATTTCGAGCTCTATGTATTAGGTTCAAGTTATTCTTTGCAGCTGAGCCCCATATTTCTATCAGATAATCGATATGTGGTTTGACTAGAGAATTGTAAATAAGATAATGTATTTTACGCGGGAAACAACGAGCTATACTTCGAAGGGTACCCGTTATCGATGATAGTTTGCATTTAATTTTATCTATCTGAGGTTTCCATGTAAGTTTATCATCTAAAAATAAGCCAAGGTATTTTTCGCAATTTGACCGTTTGATAATTTGATTATTTATTTTTAGAGGTTCAAAGTCTAATATTTTCTTATTTTTTGCTTTGAATATGATATAATTGGTTTTGGAGATGTTTATTGTTAGAAGATTGTACTGGAACCATTTATGTATTAAGTTAAGGTCATTTTGTGCGTCAGAGATAATAGTATTTATTGAGTGGCCGAAATAGAATAGGCTTGTGTCGTCAGCATACAACGTTATGTCTCCTTTTAGGCCAATATCTTTTAAGTTATTTATATAAATTAAGAATAATAACGGCCCTAGTATGGATCCTTGTGGCACGCCGTATGTCACAGTTTTAGATTTACTTTGAAAATTGTCTATTCTGACTACTTGTTTGCGATTTGTTAAGTAAGATTTTAACATATTATAGGCTACACCTGTGATACCAATGTGTTTTAACTTTTTAAGTAGTAAATCATGACTAACGGTATCAAAAGCCTTTTTTAGTTCTATAAATATGCCTAATGCAAATGTTTAATTTAATACTAGTTTCCAAGCGCTAATCTAAAACTTAAATTTTTGTAAGTATTTACAATACAAATTTTCGCTTAAAAACTTCCTTATAAAATTATTATTAAAAGCTTATAAATTATGTTCTAATATGAGTTAATACACACTAACTACACTAATTAAGAAATTATAATAGTCTTATGAACAAAACACAGTTCGTCACTGGTTAATTGTATGCCTTGTCACCGACATTCTCCCCCTCGTGCGTCGCACCATCCTCCTGGCTCGGCGATACTCCCGGCACCAGCAGCACTACTCTTGAACTGGGTCTTCTCAGCACACCACCTCGCGTCTCGACGTCGACGATCCTTGTCCGCCCATCAGGTCCAGGATACACTTGGAAGATTCTGCCACGTGGCCAGGTGCATCTTGGTAGGCTGTGGTCGACGTTCTTGCCTTCGTTTTCCTTGGCAAAAGAGTGGGTAGATATTCTCGCAGCCAACGTTGCCAGAAGTGGTTGGCAAGCAGCTGCGTGGCCTTCCATGTAGATCCGCCCACGAGTTCGCAGTCGTCGAAGCTGCCGATTCTCGCTGCGCCGCAGGACCGCCCGATGAGGAAGTGGTTCGGTTCTCAGAGAGATGTGTGAGAGGTCGAGAGTTGACTATGTGCTCGGCCTCTAGGAGGAGAGTGTGGAGTACCTCCTCTCGTGGATACTTTTCGTGGAGTGTGGCGTCTAGTGCGGTCTTGACTGATCGCACCAAACGTTCCCATGCGCCACCCATATTTGGCGCACCTGGAGGGATGAATTTCCACTGCACGTCGATCTTCTCTGCTTCTGAGGTGAGGTCTTCATTCTGCAAGGTGTCGAACGCTTCTTTTATTTATTTGTTGGCGCCGACGAAATTAGTCCCGTTGTCGCTGTAGATTTTCTTAGGCATCCCTCTTCTTGCGGCGAATCGTCGTAGCGCCATGATCATGCTGTCGGTGGAGAGCGAAGGAGTTAGCTCAATGTGCACAGCCCTTGTTATGAGGTATGTAAATAGAGCTCCCCATCTTTTTTCGTGCCGTCTTGCTACGGTGATTGTCATCGGGCCGAAGTAGTCCACGCCCGTGCACGTAAAAGTAGGATTTCCGTGCATCAGCCTTTCCGCCGGTAAGTTGCCTGTTGGTATTTCTTGCGGTCTTGCTTTCCTTGTTTTGCACCATTGACATTGATGCTGAATTACCTTGATCGCTGACCTTAGACCGAGTACCAAGAAGCGTTGTCGTATTTCATTCATCACCGTCGCGTGATTTCCATGATGGAAGCGGCAGTGGAATTCTTCTATGATGAGTTGTGTTATCTTGTCCTTATTGTCGAGCACGATGGGTCGTTTGTAGTCCCTGGTCACACCCTGTACCGCGTCGATTCTCCTCAGCCGCAGGGGACCCTCTTCTAGTACTACGTCGAGCCTTTCCAATTTACTGCTGCCCTCTAATTGCTTTCCTTGCTGAAGGCACTTCATGTCTTCTCTGAAACTTTTGTCTTGGCTTCTTTTCAGCAAAAGAGTTTCAGCTTGCTCAAGTAGTTCGGTGTCCAACGGTATATATTTCCTTTCTGTTATTTTCGAAGATCTGTGTTGCTTCTCTACAGTCTTCGTTCCTTTTCTTTGTGTCATTTTCCAGGTGGGATCATTTTTGCAGACGTTGACCTTCTCCCTTTTTCTGCAGAGTTGTAAGAACTGCAGTACTCTCGCTGTGGCTCGCCAAAGCCTCTTCCATGAAGAGAATCTCTCGGGGTCTGGTGATGGATGAGCTGTTTGCGCTGTTGCTGCGACGTCCGCTGCCTTCTCTTCGACGGTGGCTGCCTTCTTGAAGGTTCTTGGTGCCGGCCAATGTGCCTCTTCGTTTTTCAGGAAGCTTGGTCTGGTGTACCATCGGTGGTTGCAGTCGAAGTCTTCTGGTACGTCGCGCGTTGCGTCATCTGCAGGATTCTGGGCTGTAGGCGCCCATCTCCAGCCTTGCGGTTTGGTGAGGTCCTCTATCTCCGCCAAGCGAAGACCCACGAACGTCTTCAATGTTCTCGGGCCTGTTTTTATCCAGGAAAGTACGATGCTGGAGTCTGTCCAAAATGTTTTCTTTGTTACTTTCAGGTCCAATTCCTCTTCTGCTGAATGAGCCAGTCTGCTTCCTAGGAGGGCTGCCTGTAGTTCGAGTCTCGGGATGGACACTGGCTTCAGTGGAGTGACTCTCGCCTTTGCTGCCACTAAGCTGACGTGGTAAGTCCCATCTTGATCTTCTGTCCTCCAATAAACTGCCGCTGCGTACGCCAGCTCGCTCGCAACGAAAGTGTGTAGCTCCCCCCTCGGTGCAATGTGGCGCCAGGCATCTCGGAACTTGCAGGCCTTGTAGCAGCTTCATCTTCTCCAGCTAGATGTTCCAAGCTTCGTACTCCCTTTCTTTTATTTCGTCATCCCAACCGACGCCACTTCGCCATATGTTCTGAAGCAGCTTCTTGCCTTGGATGAGAACTGGTAATGCTAAACCCAGTGGATCAAAGGTCGACATTACTGCGCTGGTGACTTCTCTCTTCGTAGGCACCTTGAGTCCCCTTGTTATTTCCTCTGGCGTGTTTCGGAGGTTTGCCCTGAAGCCGATGGAGTCCCTTTTGGTGTACCAGCGCAGACCTAGTGTCTTCTCTTCCTTCTCGCCTAGGTCCACTTCTGTCTTCTCAATAGTGTCGATCTTCACGTCTTGCGACAAGCTCGGATTGATTTGACGCCCATCCCCTGAGTTCGAAGCCTGCCTTCTTGTGTATGAAGTCCACCTGTGTCGTCACTTTTCTGAAGTCCTCTTCTGAGTGGAAGCTGTGCAGGTAATCGTCTATATAATTGGTTTAGCTCGACAGCCCTTGCTGCCTCTGGATACTGATCTTCGAATTCCGCTGCGTTTCGGTTCTTCACATAGATTGCAGTGCTCGGAGATGATGTTGCGCCGAAGATAACTGATGTCATCCTGTACTCCTTCGGAGGCACATCGCGACGAGCCCCGCGCCACAATATAACGGTGATAACCGCAGGCTATCTCTATCTTCTGGTCAAATGCGAACTTGAAGAAACATTTCCTTGATGTCGGCTGCCAAAGCTAGCGGGCCCTGTCGAAACCTTAGTAGTATCCCGAAGTGACTGTAGTAGATCTGGTCCTGGCAGTAGAGCATCGTTGAGGCTTCTTCCCTTTGACTTGGCTGCAGCGTCGAAGACGATTCTTATCTTCTTCTTTAATGGATGTACCACGGAGAAGTGAAGGAGGTACCATTTCTTCTTGGAGTCTTTTTGCGTCACAGGTGCTTCTTCTGCTTACTTGCTGTCGATAAGATGCTGGATCTGCTTGACATATTCTGCCTTCAGCTGAGGGTCCTTATCTATCTTCTTTTCAATATTGAACAACCGGTTCTTGGCAGACGTGTAGCTCTCGGGCATCTGTTCATCTTCATTTTTCCATAAGAGTCCAGCTTCGAATCGTCCATTTTCAAGTCTTCTGCTTCTGCCTTCTGAATCTGTGGTGGGTCTTCGTAGTTGCACGCCAAGCGCCTCGATTGCAAAGTGGTCTTTGATGGCTTGATGCATCTCTTCATCTGGTGTGCTGACATGTAGACACGTGTTCATGAACTGTACTACTCTTACAACCAATACCAATATTCTTTTGGATCCTTTTGGCCCGAAGATTTCTACTGGAACTATCTTCAGGTATGCCCTTGCGTTGTTGACTGCATTCACTGATGTCATGACGCTTGCTACTTCTTCTTGTGTTTCCGCCTTCTTCTCTCCCGAGGTCCTGTCTTCTGATTCGACGTGCAGCAAATGATGATGGCTCCTCTTGCATTCCTTACATGGTGGTTTCTCGCAGCTCTCCTTTCGATGTTTCCCTTGAAGACATTTGAAGCAAACGTGACTTTTCTTTACTGTTGCCCATCGATCTTGCACTGACGTCTTCTGGAACTTCTGGCAGTTGACGAGGAAGTATCCACCTTGGCACATAGGACAATTTTCTGTCTTTTCTGTTGACTGTCTTGAATCTCTTTCTTTAAAGTCCTTTTCTCTCGTAGAGTGCGTCGCTTGTCGATGAGTTCTTCTGAACCCGCTCTTCTCTTCTGAGGTCGCGAAGGCTCCACATTTGTCTGCTTCGATGTTCAGGAACTTGGAGACCATCGTCAGGTCGGAGAACTCGCCCCCTTCTGCTGCTGCAGTAAAGTCATACCATCGGAACTTGACCATCGTCAGGTCGGAGAACTCGCCCCCTTCTGCTGCTGCAGTAAAGTCATACCATCGGAACTTGAGAATTGTAGGCATCTTTTCTATAATTTGCTTTACCATTTCAGGTGAATGCAGGTACTGTGGTTTCTTCAAACCCTTTATTGCTGCTACGCTGTTGTTGATTTGGCTCGCAAAGACGCATATATCCCTTAGATTTTCAGAAATTTTCGGTAATGCTCTGACCTTGCCCAATTCAGCCAGCACCAGTGCATCAGGTCTTCCATATCGTCTCCTAAGGGCCTGCATTACTTCCAAAGGAGAGGCTTTGGAGTACAGCAGGCTTTTGATAGCTTCTCTTGCGTTGCCCTTTAGTGCTCTTCTTAGTCGAGCCATGTTTTGGACTGCGTTGAACATCGGGGCGGTATCTTCGTAGACCACCTTGAAGGCCGACCACTCACTGCTACTGCCATCGAAGTAGGATAGCTCGTGGATATACTTTGGATGAGCTACTGGTCCTCCTTTTGGTGTAAGGGCTTCCTTCAATGCTATCGTCAGCGCGAATCTCGCTCGTATCTTTTTTCGTTGAGGAGTACTCTTCAGGGTTCACATTTGGCTCTTCCGGAGGGTGCTGACCTCGTTGCTCGTGTTTCCCATGTTGTTTTCTTCCATTACTGATGTCTCGATCCAGTTCTGCACCTGTGCTGTTCTGTCTTCCTGGTCTTCATCCACGGAGTCTTCCTCTTCACACTGTGCCAGCTCTAATCTGACACGCGTCTCCTAGCTGAGGAGCTCGTGGTCTTCATGGACCTGGCGCGACGACTGACCCCCTTTGGCTTAAGGGTTGTGGCGGAGCCATGAACGCCCTTGTCCGGAATATCCTCTGGAGTCTTCTTGGTCGTCTCCTTCTGTGCGGCTTCATCCTTCTGTCCGTTCTCCTCGGACGCCGCCGTGGTGGCAGATGCAACCGTGGTCTCCGTCGTGGTGGTATCCTCTGTGGTCGTAGTGCCCGAAGTATCTGACGTAGTTGCTGTTCCTGATGATGCTGACGATGACGAAGACGTGACCCCTTCTGATCCCGACATTTCACCTGTCGCGTCCTTATCTGAAGGACGGGACCCGGGACGTGAGGCCTGGTAATCGGCATCGTGAACGAAATCTTCTGATTCTTCTATATACTTCTAGCAGGGATCCGGATTTCGAAGGACCAACTGTTTCGGACGGCTGGGACACGTCCAGTGCCCGCACAGTCGCCCTGGGACAATGTCCCACTTGATGACTTACGTTCCTTGCTCAGTGCTGGTGACGCACGTCGCACGCACCCCTGAATGCGTATGTATAGTACGATCCTACTGGAACCGAGAAGAGAGAGAGAGAGAGAGAGAGAGAGAGAGAGAGAGACGAGTAGCCGGGAGGAGGCAAAATTAAAACAGTTTCTTCCTAGGTAGCTTCTTTTTCCTTAGGTTTCGGCTTCCTTTTTCCTTGTTGTTGCCTCTTCGACGGCTGTGCTGCGACTGCGATTTCAGCTCTATTATCTTGATGTTAATGCTGTTAGTCTATACGACTCTTACAGCTTCATCTTGTCACAGGGCTCGCGGCCTGCAAGGTACTGGTGACGCACATCCCACGCACCCCTGAATGCGTGTGTATAGTACGACCCTACTGGGACCTCGAGAGAGAGAGACGAGTAGCCGGGAGGAGGCAAAATTAAAACACTTTCTTCCTAGTTAGCTTCTTGTTACTTAGGTTCCGGCTTCCTTTTTCCTTGTTGTTGCCTCTTCGACGGCTGTGCTGCGACTGCGATTTCAGCCGAAATTGGCTCGACTTTTATACCCGCCGGCGTTACCGTACGGAAGCTTGTACGGTTTTGCCTTTCTCGCGTGTTGTTTTTATTATAAGCCGAAACCTTTGGAGCCTTTATTTATTATAATTTTCACATAGTCCTTGCAATTTATACATCAATGGATTTCTCTAGTACTATTCTATAATATAAAATAATAATATAAGCTATTAATTTTTTAAATATAAAATTTCTAGAACAAAAACCCTACAAAATTTGTTAATTCACTATACATTTTATCTTATATTTATTGAAACCGATGTCTGATATACTTAGTTCTTTTTGTTTATATTACATACATTAAATAACACTTCCCCCACAAAACTTAAATTTTTTTATAAGTATTTACAATACAAATTTTCGCTTAAAAACTTCCTTATAAAATTATTATTAAAAGCTAACCCTTATAAATTATGTTCTAATATGAGTTAATACACACTAACTACACTAATTAAGAAATTATAATAGTCTTATGAACAAAACACAGTTCGTCACTGATAAATTGTATGGCTTGTCGCCGACAGTAATTATTTTCATGTAAGTGGCATTGTTTGTCTTTTTTGAAAATAAATTTCTTTAAACTCAAAATCGCCTTTGGTAAACTATTCCACACAGAGGTCGTACGCGGAAGAAAACTTCTATAGTCCGTTCGCGTTAAGAAAATAGTGAGTCATCAGTGCAACTACAGGGTAAAGATGTATTCGCAGTGGAGTAAAAATTCTTTTTTTTTTCAAACATTTAATTAAGTTTAATGGAATCAAATTTTCTTAAAATTACTTAAATCACTAATCAGTAGCGCTAGATTCTCCAGTTACATTAATTATGAAAGAATTTTGTTCTGCAAGTTCCATGATGTCATCCAAATTCCACATGGTATTTTCTCGCGTATCACGTGGTCGCAGCACTTCTTCCAACGATTAGCGTCTATTAATGCTATTGCGTCATCTAATAATTTTTTATGTCACTCATTTTGAACGTGGAGTTATTGGCGCCAACATAATTTTTTTATTTGGGCCCAAACCAATTCAATTGGATTAAGTTGGCAATGGTAAGGCGGTAGGCGAAGAATTGTAATGCCATTACTTTTGGCAGTCTCATCTATTAAATATTTATTATATTATGCTTTTGTCTTTACGTGTCCGACGTTTACCCACATTTCGTCAAGATAGTAAATGGTTTTATTAGCGGCTCTGTATTCTTTTATTTGCCTCAGATATTTACGCCTCCATAAAACATTATCCTCTCTTTCGACTAACAATGTTCTGCTATCCTGTTTATTGAAATCGAAACCAAGCTCGTGCGTTATTTTATGAAGAGTGGTACGTTTGAAAACACGAATATCTTCGTCAGCTTCGCAAAGTGTCATAATTTTGTCCAATGTCGGGTAATCGTTATTTAAATATATTGAGTGAACTTTTCTCCTTACTGCACATTTGTCTAGTTCATCTAATTTATCGACCGTCGATAGTCGAGCTCTTTTTTTCACGGGTGATTTTAATGTGTTAGTATCCTTTTGTTCTTTAATAATTTTATAAACAGTATTTTCGGACATACCACATGCACTTGCTGTTTTTATTACTGTGCTCTCCACAGTCGCATTTAAATCACACAGTTTAAATTACTTATAAACATTGTAAATTACGCGTCTCTCTCCGCTATGGATTATTGATCCACTTTTATTTTTTCGAATAGCTGAGGAATGTTGAACGAGTAACACGCAAAATACACAACCGTTTTGTTCGAAGGCCTGACTTCCACTGGTCACTGTGAACAGGACTTTCTAATTTCTTGCATTTTAATTGGCTGGGGGGCGTGGCCAGGCTGGCGAACAACGATGACTCACCATTTTCTTAACGCGAACGGACTATAGTGAAAGTTACACAAGGAGGTAATGGCGATGGGCCTGTAGTTGGACGGGTCTGAGCGGTCGCCTTTTTTAGGGATCGGGTAGACGAAAGCCGTCTTCCATGATTTTGGGACTACACCTATGGAGTAGGAGTACCGGAAAAGACGCGTTAAAACCGGTGCCAACTCTGGAGCATACGTCCTCAGCACAATTGGGGGGATACCGTCAGGCCCACTGGACTTGTGGATGTCCAGGGAGAGGAGTTCTTTACCAACCGAGCACTGTGTGAACCGCACCTCTGGCATGGAGCACTCACACCGCGGGATGGTCGGCGGCATACTCCCCCCGTCATCGAGATTCGAGTTGGACGCAAAGAAAGAGCCTAGCAGATTGGCTTTCTCCTTTGCGGCATGGGCCAGTGAGTCGTCCTCCCTGTGCAGAGATGGAAGAGATGGCTGACAGAAATTCCCCTGGACAGCCTTGGCGAGAGGCCAGAATGCACGGGTTCCAGAAGGAAGGCGAACTAGTTTCTAGCCAATTCCGCCTATGTGCTCTGACTTTGCCTTGGCAATGACTCTTTTAAAGGACCTGGAAGCGGAATTATACTTCTTTTTTAGAGCGCTGGTGTTTACATCCCGGGACGTTGATGCATCAGCCCAGGCTCTGTAGCACTCCTGCTTATAGCATGATGCTATTTTACAAGAGCGACCAAACCATGACAGATTTGCTTCCGATGGGCACCACAGAGGAAGGAATAAAAAGTTCCATACCCTAAAGTATCACATTAGTGACAGTATCAGCAACAACGTTGGGATTGTCCGGCAAGACGCAAACCCGCCCCCAAGGGTAGGCTGCGAAGAAAGACCGCATCCCATCCCAATTAGCTGACCTATAGTGCCAAACACGGCGGCAGCCTGCAAAATGCAACTACGATTTCAGCGTGAGTGGCACCACGCTCCGAACATGACAATGATTCGAGGAGCCTAAAGGGACGTCGACGGAAATCTGATATCCGTCCGGATGAGAGGTCAGCAGAAGATCCAACAGTGAAGGTGCATGATCTGCCACATCTGGAATCTGTAGCCATTTGGATGTGGTCGAAGAGTCGGTCTGTTTCGGCATTACCGCTATGGGACCTATAGAGGCACCCGTAGACGCGCGAATGATCGTAGCTGTCTACGCGTAGCCAAAGGATGGACAGGTCCGAACCTTCAAGACTGTCAAGGCGTCGAGAACTGACATATACGCAAACTCTAGCCCGAGGCACAAAGGAGTGTTTCAGTTTGTATTCCGGGTAGGAGAGATACGAAGCATCAGCCGGAGAGGACACCTGCGTCTCGGTCAGAAGGAGCAGAGCCGGCCTCGCCGTCTCGAGATGGTAGTGAACGGCGTTTAGGTTAGAATGAAGTCCCC